ACCCAATGAATGGTTCCTGATCCACGGATTTACGTAGGGTCACCCGTGAAGCTGAAGTTGCTAAATTATCAAATACATAGCTCAATAGCTTGTGGTTTACGGGCTAGGGCCATTTACACTCTTTTCTTTTGGCCTATCTCAATTCATAAATCACAAAAAGACCAAGAAAAGCTAAACAAAAACACTAAAGAAAGCTATAAAAATAAATAAATAAATAAATAAATAAATAAATAAAACATGAGGGAACAAGAGAGGGCAGGTAGCAGCAATTAGATTGAAAATTATGGATTTGGTGATAGGTTCATTCATATTAGGAAAACGCAAACAACCAGACTAACCCACACGCTACGGCGTCAAAGTATACGCTGCAACCTAAAGGTAGGACCTGCAGGTTTTTTAAATAAAAAGAAATTTTCAAAAACCCTTCCCCTACACTAAAATACATCGTAGAAAAGCCAAAATAAATTATGTTAATTGAACTAAGAAAAGAAACATCGACTTAAAATAGGGGAAAAACCGTTAGCAGAGGGAGAAAAGCAAAACAATGGAAATTGTCATATATGTGTCATTTTCGCATGACAAAAAATCGGATGAAGCAAAAATAAACTAATTGGTTCATGCCTTGGAAATTTCAAGTTTATAAATAAATAATGTAAAGCTTTAAATGGATTAAGGGCGTGTTTGGTAAAGAGAGTTTTGATCAAAATAAAAATAAAATAAAAAGTTTATATATATATATATATATACTAGTTTTGTACCCCGGCGATGCCCGGGTTGTTTATTGAATTTTAAGATAAATTTATACTTCGAGTTAACTCATGACCAGACCTAACAGGTCTATATAGTAATAAAATTCTATTAGATTGTGAAGTATATATGTTATTTTAACCGATTAGTACATATTATAAATGAATGATTTGCACTTTGAACTACTTAATTCGTTCCAAAAAATATTATGATACAAAAAAATAAATTTATATGATAATTTTTTAGAATTATAATCTAATAATTTTTTTGAATAAAATTATAATTTAATTTGTACATTTGAAATATTGGTATTTTATCGAAAATAAAACTCTAAACCAACAATTTTATCCTAAAATTCTATCTTATGAAATCTATTTAAATCTATCCAACGTGGGATGACATTTGGCGAAAAATTGGAACGCCAAGTGTAGCTGCATCGTGACTTGGCTTAAAATTTAGTTTATATATTATATATATATATATATATATATATATATATATATATATATATATATATATATATATAAGAAATTGACTGATTGGTTTCAAAAATAAAAAAAAAATAAATTGACGGCTTAAAACATCTCTTTTTGTTGGTTGGTAAAGAAATTCTTAAATCCTATTATACCTAAAAAAAAAAAAAAAACTAGGGGGTAATTTTTAGAAAAATTAGATTTATGAGCTTTTCAAATAGATGATTCTAAATCAACAATAAAAATGACTACATTGTTTTGAAGTCTTAGATATATTATATCTTTTTAATTAAAAAAATTTTAAAAATTTAAAATCATAGTCCTTATTTTTACATTTCACTTATTTAAACAACAAAACATATGCTTGACCTATAGTCTCATGATACGTAATTTAACAAAAGAAATACTACCTCCGAAATATATTAGATGTAACTTTAGAGCTCTCACGGAACCCAAGACAAAATTTCATAATCGTGATTTAATGGATTAAAGAGTATATAATTAAGGATAGGAGAGAGAATGGAGATAATTAACCGCCACCACCAAACCGTCGACACAACCACCCCCACCAACCTATCGACAACCCCAGCCACCCCTAAACTAGCTCAGTTAAAGCTCAATCTACTCAAACAACCCAGAATCACCTAGAAAACAGCCAGAACCACCCCCGAACCATCGAGAACCAACTGATCTACTCGAACTAGCCCGAAACCACCTCATAACCAGCCGATCTACTCGAACTAGCCCACTAAAACTGGCCTAATCTACTCGAACTAGCCCAAAACCACCGCTTCCACTCGAACTAAGCCAGAACCACCGCCTCCACTCGAACTATCCCAGAACCACTCACAAGAAGCCCATAACCACCGTCAAACCACCCCGAAAACCCCCTAAAGCACTCGAAACCATGCGATCTCCCGATTTTATTAAGAGAAGGAGAATGAAATAGAGAGAGAAAAAGCGGCACTAGAGAAAGAGAGAGATAGCGCGCGAGACAGAGAGAGGAAGTTGATGGTGGCCGGTGACAGAGTCGGAGTCGGGAACCTTGAAGGTGGTTGTGGCCGGTGACGTTGACGCTAGTGGTTGCCGGAGTTGTGAAAGACGAACAAGGATGGAAGTTGAATGATTTTTTTGAGTTTAGGTTGATTGTTGATCGGATTTTGTTTTGGTGAATTGAATTTGGTGAGATAAATTATGTTAATTAAGTTAAATTATTATTCTAATTTTATTGTTTAATTGTGTCTATGATATCATCAGTAAGGGTATTTGAGTAATTTAAAAAAAAATTATTAAAAAGGGAAAGAAGAGGAAAGTTGCATTTAACGTGAAATTTTCATTTTTGGCAAAAATTGCATATAATATGTTCCGAAGGTGGAAGATAAAATTAACGGATTTTTTAAATTAAAAAAAAAATCCATAAAAACTAATAAGAGGACAAATTACGGTTTATGGAGATAATTTTTTTTATCTAATGTGTTTATCATCTCTAATATTTAGTAAATAAATAGAGGAAGTACTCTATTATTTATCTGATAAGTTAACAAAGCACTTCTTTTCAAAAAGTTAATTCAACCAACTAATCAAAATATTTAATTAAACTCAACTAATTAAACCAGTTAAGCTACTACAGACCAAATAGGGCCAAAACCTAAGATCTAAGAGGTCGAGTTGGGTAGTATGGATGCAACAATAAGCCTAACATAGACAGATATAAACTTCACATCAACTGCCCATATTTTTGTGTCTTTTCATTTTCTGTTCAAGCATAGTTCCATAAAAATATATCCTTTGTACTCTACAGGTCAGATTATAAAATAGTAACCAGAACTTAGAATCTATTAGGGCCTATATTTATTGTGTATATTGTATAACTAACGGGCCTATCTCAAGAGCCCTAATCTCTTGTTAGGATTGTATAATTACGCTTCCCATACTCTAATAAAACTATGGAAAATTATTTTGTGACATGGTATCAGAGCTTAATAAGAAATGAGCGATATTTCTCAAATAAGAAATGGTCTGGTAATTTTAGAAATCTATATATATATATATATATATATATATATATATATATATATATATAAAGTAATTGACAAAAAAATTATTTATGTATAAACTTGAAAAATACCAAACACCACCACTATTAAATTAAACAAATTATTTCATACTCAACATGGCCTACTCACTTTTATATTCTCACAATCTCACATGTCCTTTTACTTAATTATATAAACTATATCCACTAACTTCGCTTTATAATAAACAACTCAGTTTACAGTCCTTGCACTTTTTTTTTTTTAATAACCCTCCCCCTACACTAAAATACATTTAAGAAAAGAATTATGTACTTCAAATGGGGAAAAAGCATTAGCAAGTCACATAAACAATGTCGTTTTCCTATGGTAAAAGTGGTTGATGCTGATAAAATAATAGGTTTCATGCATAAATAATTAACAATTTTAAATGGGTTAAGGGAGTCCTTGCCTCCAAAAAACAAAATAGTTATTTGATCAAATGGTTGACTGCTTATTGGTGTTTGGTAAAGAGCTTCTTTCTAAAATTTTATTAAGCCCAAAAACTAATTTATAAAAATTAGATTTGGGAGCTTTTTTCAAAAAAAAAAACAAAAAACAAAATGATTGTAAAATGTAATAAAATGATTTTTTTTGTCCTAAACTTGTTTTTATTTACTTTTCATAACAAAATTGCCAATATAGTGATATAGTCATGTCTTTTCATAAAAAATATATACTATTAATAAAAAATAAAAAATAAAAAATAGTTCTTGCTTTCATTTTACAATCAAACAACAAACGGTTACTACTTATCAGATAATTTAGCACACACTTCTATTCAAATAGTTTATTTCACCGGCTAGTCAAGGCATCTAATATAAACAGTTCGTAAACTGTAAAACCGTTTACTGCAACCAATGATTATGAACCAGCTCCAACTAATTACCAAATAGAGACTGAAACTAAGATATGAGAGGTTGAGTTGGGTAGTATATGTGCACTTGTGCAACAAAAGCAGCCTAACTTAGACAGATACAATTCAGATCACATGCCCAAGTACTTGTGTCTTTGTATTTTCTGTCTAAACACAATACCATAAAACATTTCCATTGTACTTTACAAATGATATGTAACCAGAAGGTCAAGAAATGTGCAATTTTCCTCAGATAAGAATTGGTTTAGTAATTTTCAAAACCCTGAGGGGAAATAAATCACAACAATTTTCCAGTAAAAAATTAAATGAGTCACACAAATATTTACAACATTATATACCAGATAAAACAAAAGGCAGACTCATTTAAAACAACGCATACGTTACAAATTTGTATCATATCACAAAATGCCACCCTACCTCCCCTCAGCACTCAATAACAGAAAGCAAGGGACTGGCAAGTGTGGGCGCTTAACCAACTTATCCCACCTTGCATGTCATCGGGGTTACATATAAATGTTCTTCCACATGTAAGTTATCCTACATGAAAAGGGTAAGATAAAACTGAAAAATAGAAGCTATAACTGTCTTTAGGTCCAAAGAAAGAGTAGCACAGGAATGTTCAAAGTTTAACCTTGCGTTTATCTCATAATCAGGTCACTTGACTTTTAAAATCAAATCTTGTTGATTTTGACCACTAGTTTCTTAAAACATATATAAAGCATAGTATGACAATACCATACCTAGAATTAGCTCCGCCTTATTCTAGTTAAGATAATGATTTTTTGAAGGTACCAAAAAGAATAAAAGAAACAAGCACATAATACTCATACATCACTGAAATTCTTTTTATATCAACAATGGTCATAATAGCCATTTCTTAATCAGGAAACTTCAATTCAAAGACATCCAAACGCATTATTACAATCTAACGATCAGTAAGATGGTTTCAAGTGATAATTTATTTTTAGCTAAAGGTTAAACATCCAAAAATCCCAAATTGCAAATCAATCAATCAATGTCTTAATCCCATAAGTGGAGTCGGCTACATGAACCAAAAATGATAGACCCAAATTGCAAAGGAATTCCCAAAAATATAAAAAGCACAACTTCAGATTTAAAATGAATCAGAAGAAGAGAAGATAGTACAAGCATACTTGTAATAACGAACATCCAGTAATTAGCAGCTGATTTATTCTGTTTCTGTCCACTTCATTACCCCAAATGAGCCTAAATTCCCTTGTCAGAATCGGTTTGATAGAGGCTTGATTTACTGCAGATTCAGCAAATTTGAGCAGGCATGCAAAGAGTGTAGCTCTCAAGATCATAGCCCTTTTAGTGTGGGAAGTGCCCTCAAAGTATTATACAGTACAAATTCATAACCAGGCAGGCCTCAAAGTACATGTAAGTAGCAGGCAATCGAACCTTCCATGGAAATATCTTTGAGTTACTGGTTAGTCCATTCATACGAATCAACTATACTTATAAACCATTAGATCTAACCACAGCTACAACTTGCACAGACAGAGCAGCCATTTAGCAGAGCTTCAAAAAAATCGCCATCTTCAGACCACCTTATACTCAAAGATCCTAACCTAAATGCAAACATATGTGTCAATTTAATTACTACGGAGCTAATGCAAACTTCCATTTTAAGATCAACAGGTTTAATATATATATATATATATATATATATATATATATATATATATATATATATATATATATATATATATATATAATCACTTATATATGTGATAATGGAATTGTATCAGTGCAAAACATGAATCAGCTTCTTATAAGTTCAATAATAAGCAATGAAATAGTTGAGAACATAGCTTACTAATTCAAGATCTCAAGTACATCTTTAAACTAGTTAGCGTAGCCGATTCCATACATATCAAAGACATAGCCAATGATTCCATACACATCAAAGGCATAGCCAATGGAAAGATAAGTGGACTGGTCATAGACACAGGAATTTTGGAGACAAGGAAGCATTCTTGAATTTCTTCAATTATTAACATCACCAAGTAGTCCATTCCATTACATAGACCAAATCCATTTCTGAGAAAGTAGAGTTTGACGACCTAATATTTTACAGATAACTATAGCTGGTACCTGATACAGATACCTATATCCAACATTTAATAGACATTGATTGCAATTCAAGTAATGTTTTACACTTTCCTTTTAATTCATTGTTTATTGTACTTGTTTACAAGTTTTAATTGAATGCAATTAACATATTAGGTGTATTCTGATTAGGGATTGTGGGTTTAAATAAATTTGGGGGTTTTGATTTCTATTGTTCAAGGGTTTAATTGAGTCCTAGATTTCTATTATTTTGACTTTGAGATCCAATTCAATTACATTATAATTACTAATTAGCCATTTTAATTGGTAGGATGTCTAATTGGCCATTGTAATTGGTTAGATATCTAAATTTTGTTGTTTTGATTTCTAGGGTTTAGTGTAAGTTAAGTAGGGAGGAGAGAGAAGGTAATTAAGGGAATTAATTAAGTGGATAAAGTAAAAAAGTAAGCCCCATTAATGCTTTTTTGGGCGAAAAACGTTAATGGATAGTGCTACCCAAACTTTTCTTAACTTCTGGATAGTTCTCAACAAATAAAAAAAACGTGTAGTTGTTCACAAATGACTCTATCTTTAGGTTAATTCTATACAAAATTTCCTAGATTACATGTAAGAGAATTACGATACACAAAGAGACATGATAAATTCTTCGAGGCTCGTTATAAACATTTCCCTAATAGTTTTTAATCAATTCTCTTTGGAACAATTGTGTTACATGACAAAGCTATTGAGATATAATGAAAATCCAATTAGTTTTGCTTGTTACAAAACAAATTTAGCAAAGTTTTGGAAGGAACATATGTTTGTTTCACACTAAGAAGAATATTGCAGACTTTCACCAAAAGTAAGCAAGAAGATATTAGGGCCGTCTTAACCATCATTACCATCATTGGCCCTGGTCAATTGAACTTGACAATGGAGTTTCAGTTATAAAAAAATAAAATAAAATAAAATTCATCTAGTGCATGCTACGCACTTCTAACAAATTTGAACCTTACAATGAAGATACAAAATCAATAACTAGTATAATTTGTAAAGAAAAATTGCAAACTTGCTAATGTATGATTGTATAAACCTCCAAAAAGAAATGAAAAAAGCCATATATAAAGTTTGTAGGGTATTGAAAAAAATTAAAGCCTTCATATATAAAACCGCTATGGTGTATAAAAGCACTAATGAATTTTGAGATAAGGGAGTGATTATAAATTGGTAAAAAAATGACAAGAATGGATGACATGATTAATTATAAAGAAAAATTGCTCGGAATAAGCCCACCTTAGGAGCATCCGCTAAAAATAATCCCACCATTGAGTTATTTTTAAATAATCTCACCTTTAATGCCAACCTTCTTTAAATTGTTCCAACCGGTTAATGTTATAACAAGTTATCTAACACATGGCGGAATGTGATTGGTTCAAAAAAATTAAAAAAAAAATTATAAAGAAAAAATTAAAAATTAAAAATAAAATACAACTAAATATTTAAAAATCACCCCACCGGCTACCAAGCCACCTTCCCGCCGCCTGACTCCACAGCCGCCCACTCCCACCAGCCCAAACTCCTGCCTGCCCCTCGGCCCGCCATCCCCCCCCCCCCTTGAACAGTCGACATTCTTCCCCTTAAACCACCAATTTGATTCAAAAAAATCTTTCCCCTGTCACCTACGCCACCCTCATTCCCCCTATCGAAACTAAGACATAAACCCTAATCAAACCAATCAACCCTGATTGGCGAGTAGTATCGACGGAGAGAAGTGCGGAAGCGAGGGGATAGAGGTTGTGGTCGGAGAGAGAGAACGCGGCTGCGAAGGTGCTGTAATTTGCAAGCTAAGCAATGGGGTGCTGGTGGGGTATCATTTCTAGTGGTGGCTGGTCGAATGGTGACTGTTGGTGGTGTTGGGTACCATGGCTACCGGCAACCTGGGTGGTGGTGGAGCTGGTGTGGTTTTAATTTTTATATTATTTTTTTTTTAGAAAAAAAGTAAAAATACTTATTTAATGGCTAGTTACTAATAATCATTTCTTAAAATAAAATTAAAATTAAAAATTATTTTTTGACTAATCATGTAAATTTATTTTTTATTTTTTAAAAAAAAAAAATTTACCTACTCAACCGGTTCCAAGTAAAATGGGACCATTAAAAACAATTGAGGGATGAAGGTGGATTTATTTAAAAATAACTCAAAGATGGGATTGGATTATTCTGTGCAATTTTTTTTTTTTTTTTTGTATAATTGAAAACTGTTGAAAATTTAATGAGAAAATAGAAGGTTGAAAATCTCAAAAAGAGAATAATTAATACTCCCTCCGTGTTTTAATAAGTGTTGCAGATTCACTGGCACATAGTTTTAGGCAATTTAATTGACTTAAATAAAATAAGTAAAGTAGTTGGAGTATTAAAAAATTGTAAAAGAAATAAAGTGGGGTTAATAATTTATTGAAAAGTAATGAATGTGAGAGGAAGTATAATATATAAAGTAGTGTTGGGTTTAGGTGGGGACCATGAGAGGAGAGAGAGAAAATATTTAATGGTATCTTTTTGCCAATAAAGGAAGTGTAACACTTATTCAAACACGGCCGGATTTAGTAAGTGTAACACTCATTAAGACACGAAGAGAGTAAGAAGACGTGTGAGTTTAAACCAAAAAAAAAAAAAACAAAAATAGAACTATGATAATCAATCATGTGACAAAATTGGTAAGGTTACTCTAATTTGTGCTTAACCCCTACAACAATTACCATGCATTAGTTTTTTTATACAGTAGATTTATTTACCACATTTGTTTCATATTATATACAACATTTACTAAACATGTTTCTCTCTATTGAACGCTCACATATAAATTTTGCCTAGTAGTTCATGCAAGCTCCTTTATTGCACATAAGTTCCTTTTTGTGTTTTTTCACGGTACTTGAGAGATAGGAAAAGAAAGTAGATGAAATACATTAATAAAAGTGAAAAATACAATTATAGACAAAAGTTAGAGAAAGTGAAAAAAAGTACACGACATGTGCAAAATTTAAGGGTAATTTAGAAAGTACAATGAATAAAGTTAACAAAAATGAGGATATAATAGTCTTTACATAGTATCAAAAATAGAAACAGGAACAACATTTTGGATTTTTAAAATAAGAAAACAGGAACTATATTATGGGATCCGTTTCATTTTAGTTGCTACACTATCCTATTTTGGATATTGTTAATTAGTCTTTACATAGTATCAAAAATAGAAACAGGAACAACATTTTGGATTTTTAAAATAAGAAAACAGGAACTATATTATGGGATCCGTTTCATTTTAGTTGCTACACTATCCTATTTTGGATATTGTTAATTAGTTGCAATGCTTTCCATTATTGGCATACACACACACATTTTAAGCATATCCTTTGACAACAAGCCTTGCTTTGTTTTTCTGGATATTTCCGTCTTAGTCTAGTTTTATTTTATAAACCCATTTTAGTCCAATAATATCATTACCTTCATAATCAACAAGCTCCCATGTCTTGTTTTTACTCAATCATAGCAATTTCTTCATCCATTGCTTTTATCCAAACATCATACGTGGATAATTCTTTATAGCTAAAAGGCTCACTTGCAAATAAAGCAAATGCTTCTATGTCATTTGCTTTAGATAAGTAGCACTCATAATCATCAAAATAAGGCCTCTTTCTAATTCTTCCTCGTTGATTTAAGACTAGAGAAGATGAGGTTCTAGTGGTTGTGTATTTGACACACTATTAGAGGATCTCTGCGCATTGTTTCCTGCATCATTTATTGTTGTTAGAGCTGGGCTACGAGAAGTTATAGCTTCTTCTTGCATAGGAAAATGAATTTTTTTCATCATCTCATTTCCATTTTGCCGATTCTTCAAATATAGCGTCTCCGGAGACTATTAACTACTTCTTAGCTTGTGGGTTTAAGAGACGATAGCATTTTGATTCATCACTATATCCCACAAAAAGATATTTTCTCCCTTTAGGATCAAACTTGTCTTTTCCTTGATCTTTATTCAAGGCATATGACATACATCCAAAAACTTTTAAATGTCTAACAACCGGTTTCTACCCTTACAAGCTTCATAAGGAGTCTTGTTACGAATTGCTTTAGTTAGAGAACGGTTGAGTATGTAAATAAATGTATTTACAGCTTCGGCCCATAATGTTTTAGGAAGAATCTTTTCTTCCATCATGCTTCTTGCCATTTCTACAATTGTGCGATTCTTCCTCTGAGGTGTTCTTGAGACCTTCAATTGAGTTTTTATTCCTTCATTTATACAATGCTCCATATAAGGGTTATACATAAATTCACCCCCTCTACCGGTTCTCAAAGTCTTTATCATATATAAATTGGAGAAATACATTGAAAGCGTTTGACTTTTGATCGATAAAATAAATCCACATCATACGGGTATAATCATCGACAAATAATAGAAAATACCTCTTATTTTGCGGAGATGGATTTCTCATGGGGCCAAATATATCTGCGTGTACTACTTCAA